TCATCAATTGGCATCAAGTCACTGTTAATAAGCGAGTCATTGCGATTGAACCGAATCATTTAAACAATTGATTCATTCAGGAACGAAATGTTGCTCAGAGGCACAAAACTGTTCTGTGGTGGCTGTGTTTGGAATTATTTTTGTTGTCGAAATAAAGCAAAAACAGGCAATATGGTGTCTAAAACGTAAATCTCTTAATTAACTTCTTGTTTATTGAACTGTTGTAAAAAAATAAATAATAATCTATATGTAATCGTGCTGATTTTTGGAGAAAAAAATGGCACTTTTCATGTGATATTTGATTAACTATATGAAATAATATAAATGTATACATTTTCTGTCCCTATATCTTCAATTTCTTGAGCATTCTAAATGCATTTAAATACTGAATCACGCAGTGAAAGAAGGCACTCTAAATGCGCACGCGCACTACTAGACTTCACAGCACTCTGTGAAGCGTCAAGCTTCATTTGAACCACCAACTCAACGATGCAAGTATTTAGCTTACCTCTACATGCTTGCAAAGGGTTGATGCCGAGATTTTATAAGCTGCTAGTTTGGTCTCCCTAGGCAAACACAGCTTACACTGCATAATAGAGCTTAAATATGGCCAGTGGTTCACTTCATTTCCTTCGAGTTCAACTTCAGCAGAATACGACGGGGTTTCATTTTCTGCTGTGTCTGCACCATAACGCCTGTCTTGTCCGTCTCCATCTTTCTTGTGATTTTAGCGCCAGTTTGTTCTCCTGCCCATTATTTACTGCAGTAGTTTTGAGGGTGCGATTTTTTTTTTACTCAGTAATTAATGTGTTTTAAAATGTAGCGAAGTACAATACTTCCAAAAAAATATATATACTTAAGTAAAAGTAAAATGACAGATTTTAAAAATTACTTTAAAAAGTAGAATTACTCAAAAAAGCTACTCAATTACAGTGACGCGAGTAAATGTAATTAGTTACTTTCCACCTCTGTGACTCAGTCCTTTTACATATTAGCAAGCCTTCATTGGAAGTCAGATTTCATAAGGTACACTCTTAAAATTCTTCCCCGCGATGCCATAGACGAACCATTCAGTCAAAGGTTCTTTAAAGAACCGTCTCTTACCCTTTTATAATCTGAAAAACCTAATCGCCTCGCCACAAAGAACCTTTTGTGAAAGGTTCTTCAGATGTTAAAGGTTCTTTATGGAACCATTTAGACAAAAAAGGTTCTTCTATGGCATCTTGAAGCACCTTACTCCTAGCTGGGTAAAAGGCCATTCAGGGTCAAAGGTCACCTTTTTTATGTGCTTGGTCCAGCAGAGATTTCAGATCATTCTCAGTGCCTACTGCAGATTTAACTGAAACCAGATCTAGTGTATCCAGCTGGTCTTCTTGCACAGTGTGTATCGGACCCAGAATAAGACCCTTCACCTTCATCTGGGTCAGATAGTCCAGCTTTTCCTCCACTCCTACAGAGAATGAGAGAAAGAGAAAATATTGCACTGATACCATCATTAACCCTCAGCTGTTTTTACATTATGAAATAAAAACTTGAGCAGATATTTGACATATTTGACTAATCTGCAATGACTACATGTAGTGCTAATATATAAGAATTGAAAAGTTCAACAAATGTTTTGGCTACTGCATGTCTGTATACAGTATGTGCAGTTTACAGTTCTGTAAAATACTGAAAAACAAGGCTACTGATCTAAAAAATGATCTAAAAAATGAATAGAATTGAAAACCTCTAAAAGCCTAAAATCTTTCATGAGGTAATTTCTCTAAGGCTTTAAAATTGTAATTCAAATAATAAACAGGTGTGGACAAAAAAAAAAAAAAAAAAAAAAGGATGAAAAATTAAAGCAAGTGGTCCATATGACTAGCCCAGCCGAGCAGGAACAAAGCCAGCAAAGCCCTACGCGTCTGAACCCACCTGCAGAAAATATGCAAATCTATAAGAGACAGACAGACTGTCAAATGTTTCATTTTAATTTCATAATCCTCGTGTAGATCGCCTACCCAGCAGTACTGGTGATTTTCATTAACTCGTCTTTGGAGAGGCCAGTATACTTCACTCCAGCGTTCTCTGGGACGGTGACCTTCACGCAGCCATTTTTTTGAGTTTCTCGGGTCATTAGCTGTGTTTCCTGATCCACCTCATTCAGTTCTACGGCCTTCATTTCTCTTTATGTACAGACGGCCTTTTAAAATACTGGATTAAAACAGATTAAAAAAGCAAAAACTAGTGAACAGATTCATTACATCTGGAAACATATGGTTTATGGTTAAAAAGATTATATAGTATGCCATAAAAGGTTAGTAATAAAGAGACCTCTTTTTTTAAAAATAATACAAAGAAGCAACATAGAATGATCGTAAACCTAAGGTCACAATAACTGCTGCTGTCATAGTAATAGTATTAACTAAGTTACAGTAGCTTGATATAAAATGTCCACATGTATAGAATAAAACTTCAATTAACAATAAATCAATAATTCAAAAACAAAAATATCTAAAGAACGCACTGTTAAATACCTGTCCAGATTTGAGGTGAGGTGTCCTCTGTGCTGTCGGGCAGAAAATAGAGCACAGTTTGGTGGTCAGTTCACTTTTATAAAAAGGACTTCATCTGTTCCCGCCCCTAACAGCCAACATATAGTACTGGAGGAGTAACAGTAGAGAAAGTCATAGATTTCTGCAAACAAAACCAAACAAAATAAATCATCACACTCTAAAAAATGCTGGGTTAAATATAACCCAGCGCTGGGTTAAAAAGGGACAAACACAGCTATTGGGTTGTTTTGACCCAGCGGTTGAGTTCAAAACAACCCAACTGCTGGGTCAAAACAACCCAATAGCTGTGTTTGTCCCTTTTTAACCCAGCGCTGGGTTATATTTAACCCAGCGCTTGACCCAGCAATTGGGTTGTTTTGAACCCAACCGCTGGGTCAAAACAACCCAATAGCTGGGTTTGTCCCTTTTTAACCCAGCATTTTTTAGAGTGCATGCTTGATTAATTATACTGTTACCTTTTTAGGCATGTGTAGAAAATCAAAGTATTTTCATTGGTCCCTAAAGAAGGAAAATGTCATATTTTTACATATCAGCACAGTTTTTTTTAAAATAAAGTATACACTTTATACAGAGTACACTCTAAAAAATGCTGGGTTGTTTCAACCCAACTTTGGTTCAAATATGGACTAACACAACCGTTGGGTTAAAATTTTAACCCAAAAGTTGGGTTAGTCCATTTTTGACCCAAGGTTGGGTTGAAACAACCCAGCATTTTTTAGAGTGTATGTATTTACATTCATAGAGTATTTAGGCTATATGTTTAATCAAAATGACCCTTGAAAAGCACTTTTGTAATAAAAACAATGACTGCAGAATAACTACAAAAGTCACAGTGCAAACCTATTCCCACAAACACTTGCTTTCAATGCGCTCAACACCCAAGATAGAACCAGACACGCAGAGCTGTTTTTTTTTTCTGTTACAGGAAGGTGTAACCAACACAACTGTAAAGCTCTCAAAACGATCTCAAAGACACATCTACCCTGCATGCTATTCTGTCTCCTTCCCTCAGTTTAAGATGAACAATACCAGCTGAGGGGAAGAGGAAGAGTCTGAGGAGAGTGGTTTGTTTTCTCGGCGCTCTGCATGAGGTCCTGGGGTTCATAGATGCTCTGCAGGGGTCTGGGTGGACCTTCCTAAGCCTGTCTGATCCTGCTCTCCAGAAACTCTTTCAAAGACATGAAAAAAATATGACAGACCACAACCAGATGGAACTGGTTTTATCTATTTCCCCCCCAAGCGTGTTTATTGTTACTGTTGTAGGCTTTGAGGAGTCAGGATTGTATTGTTTGAGAAGATGCAGAATTGCTCTTCATTCCAATGCAGGTTTTCTGTAAAGTACTGTAAGAACTGTGTGTGTGTGTGTGTGAGTGTGTGTGCTTGAATAAAGTTTTTGGAGACAATTTTAATTCCTCACAGAACATTTCAGTGAACCGTTTTAAAAATAACCATTTTCTTAGTGTGGAGAGCATTTAAAAATATAAATGTCCTTTTTCTATTAAACTGAGTCTTTTGTGTATCCATGGATGTTAAGGGATCTCCATGGAACCATCGAAGAAAATAAAGAACCTTTATTTTTATGAGTGTTGTATGAATCGTGATGCAATATAATAGTAAAAATCTGTTTTGAACTATTTTATCTAATACATTTGTTGGCAAAAACAAGTCTCCGTGTAAAAACACAAATGAAGTAGGCTAAGTGACAGAAAAAATACGGTGTGATATAAAGTTTTCCATGTAGATATTGCACCTACAAGACAACATATGTAGGCTAGTACTTAGAAGTACTGTACAGTAAATTATTGAAATAGGCATTTGTGTTTATATAATATGGCTCTGTAACAATTATTCTGGGGGTTTTAGGCATAAAAATATCATTAATATTTTTGCATTGTTACAAAAAAGTTGCTGATTTGTAAAAACCAGCTTAAACGTTTATATAATTTTTTAGTTGTCTGATTAATGTGCAAAATATAATTATGTTAGTTGTTAGCAAAATGTAATTATGTTAGCATGTTGAGGACATAAAGTGCCCTCTAGTGGCAATTTGTGAATGAACTGAACACCTAGAACCTTTCCATCATCTTTTTGTGAGAAACACTTATATTTTTTTTGTGATTGTTTGATGAATACAACTTTTAAAAGAACAACATTTATTTAAAATAGAAACTGGATTTTTTTTGTAACAATATAAGTCTTTACTATCAATTTTGATTGATTTAATGCATTGATTTTATACTTGCTAAATAATAGTACTAATTTCTTTCCAATAGATAGATAGACACTTTATAGGTTAAAATGCTTCTCATTTTTTTAGGAATTGTGTCCTAAAACAACAAATAATTAAATGAGTTCAAGAGGGAACAATTTCCTTTTGATATACTATAAGCATTAACTGCACCAGTGCATAAAGTGGATACAATTTCACACAAAACATATCTTCAGTAGCAATTTTATTTATTATTATATCAGGGGCTTTAGATCTACATGTCTCTATATGGAAATCAACTTCTGTCCTACACCAACCGTGACAACTCTTTCATATAGCTTTAAAGTTAGTGCTCCTAAAAGTATCCCTATTAGAGAATACAATTAAAACTATAAACTATTCAACTCAAAAGACAAAGTATTTCCAAACCTGTGCACAGTGTTGAAACTCATCAGAGACACTAAGGACTGTCTGTGTCCATGCGTCTAGCCAGGAAAAGCATAAGACAACAGAACAGCTTGTTTGGGCCCAAGCTCTAACTTCTCTACTGACACCTTACTATCCACAGCTAGATTCTCTGTGTCTGTGGAAGCACGGACGCGAGCCTCAGCCGGCAGGTCGCTATAGGTCAGTGTCATGGTAACAGAGTCATTTCCCCAGTTTAAGGCCACCAGGAAACGTTCGCTCTGGTCCCAGAGGCGGAGAAATGCTAATGAAGTGGGTGAACTGTGAAGGCTGATATATTCTCCGTGCAGAAGAGATCGCTCTTTTCCTTTCAGATCACTGAGTGCTTTAAAGAAGTCACACACTGCGGTACGTTCCTCCTGTACAGTCTGAGTCAAAAGAACGAAAGAAAGAAACTTTGTGCATGTGTTTTTAAAATGTGCAATTACAAGAGTGATATATATATATATATATAGCAATGTGAAAATGTGAGAATGAAAATGTACCTTTGCTGTTGCATTGTCATCATCTGCTTGACTTTCCAAGTCCCACATTGCTTCAAGTTTCTCCTGAATAGGTGATATTATGTCAGCTTACCAATTTATCGACATCTTAATTTTCATTTTAATTTGCTGTACTCACCCCAGCCTTCAGTCCGACCTCATCTCCAGCGCTGAACACAGGTGTGCCCGGGAGGGTGAACAGCAGCATTTGATAGAGTCTTATGGGCGCTGCTGGAGTTCTGGAAGCCAGAGAACCCAGAGTCCGTCCGCTCAGACTCCAGCCCAGACTCGTCTGCAGGTGATCAGCATAGAGTATCTGTATCACCTGGGCCTGTCTTATGCCGGGCTCAGCCGGATCAGGCAGTCCAGTCAGGAGCAGGTCAACACTGGACTGGTTCAGCAGATGAGAGGCATCATCCGCGGAGAGACCCGTGACTGATCCCATCAGAGCTCTGAAAGTCATGAGGAGAAAGACATTGAGACATCCGAGTGCCCTGAAATCAAATTCTGTCTAACATTTGTATTCACTAGCTGTGATCAGTACACCAATCTGGCCACCACGTGTCTCTGTTCTACTAAACAAATGTCCTCCCTACAAATTCCACTGTCTACCACCCCATACCTTTTTTTGGTCCCATCAGTTTTGTTGAATATGCCTTGAACAGACGGCCAGGCTTCTGTGTTTGCAATGTCGTTCAGATGTGATAGGAAGATGCCGTCCACCCCCTTATTGAGCCAGTATACACAAGCTTCCTATAAAAAACACATAGAATGGAACAAATAAATCAGTTTATATGGCTAAGCACTGATTAATACAAAATGTTATAAATAATAGTAAAACATACTTTCAATGACACTATCATTCAAAAGTTTGCGGTTGGTAAGAATTATTTAAAAGAATCGCTGTTCACGAAGGCTGCATATATTTGGTCAAAAATAGAGTAAAAACAATAATATCGTGAAAAAATATTACAATGTAAATGAACTGTTTTCTATTTGAAAATATTTGAAAATGTAATTTATTAAGCTGAATTTTCAGCAGGCATTACTTCAGTCTTCTGTCACATGATCCTTCAGAAATCATTCTAACATGCTGATTTAGTGCTCAAGAAACATTTCTTCTTATAATTAATATCGAAAGTGTTTGTAAGGCTTAATATTGTTGTGTAAACTGTGATACACTTCCCTGATTTTTTTTTTAGGAATAGTGTTCAAATATTCAAAAGAACAGCCTTTATTTGAAAAAGAATTTTTCGTAACAATTTAAAAGCCTGTACTGACATTTATGATCAGTTTCACGTTTTCTTTGCTGAATACGATTTATTTAAAAAATATTACATTCAAAATACTTTTGAATGATATTGCTATGCTAATATCAGAAGTATTTTTTCACTCTAATATCAGGAGATAAGTTCTTTCTTACTTTGGCCCTTTTACACATCTCTAAATCTTTTCTCTCACTAACTGACCTTCAATATATCAGCACTTACTTTGAGTCGCTCAGCAACAGAAGCAGCATTGTTGAACCAGGCTGAAACTCCCTCATAATTGGGTGTTAGATCCAGCACTATGGAGATTCCTGAGAGGGAGAGAGGAAAACACGTAGAAAGAGGGGGAAAGGCAGAGGGTAGAGTCAACAAACCAGAAGGCTGTTAAATGATCTTTCTGGAGTTTATCTTTCCTGAAAAAAAAAACCTGTATGAAGCCTTTATTTGAAGGCATATGGCTTTATTTACTGGAAACCACAGGGATGTTCCTGTTAAACCAACACAACTGTGTTTGAGTTAGTGAATCAGTTCCAAGCCAGTCCTATATATTGTTGCTAAAATTATATAATGAATACAATATGTGCCATAAAATAGTTTTTGAGGTGACTATTTTCTAGGATATTTTAGTTTGTTTTGATATCCTTTAAATTTTATGTAAAGAAATAGTTACAAATAGAGTTATAAAATGATATTCACTATAGGAAAAAAGGCAGGAGGTCAGAGTTTAAACTGACAGCTCACTGCAATTTCAGACAGCCTTCCCCTAAAACAGAGCAACTGTAGCTTAACGATCGGTCTACCCAGTGACCTATTTCGTCATTTCAAAATAGGTCACTGGATATGTGACAGGGTTGATGTTTTCTTTTGAAAGCCTTAAAAACAACCAAGCGAGGTCACCTTTTCTATGTGCTCGGTCCAACAGAGAAATCAGCTGGCTCTCAGAGCCAAATTCGGGGTTAATGGAAGTTAGTTCCAGTGTGCTTGACTGGTCTGCTTGCACAGTGTGTATCGGACCCAAAACAAGCCCCTTCACCTTCATCTGGTTGATATAATCTAGCTTCTCCTCCACTCCTACAGACAGAATAAAAGACAAAGGGTTAAGAACAAGAGGAAGTGAATGAGAGATCATCATCAGTGCTTCCTTTTTCTCCAGCTACAGAGTTCAGGGCGTTCTTTTAATTATTAATCTGCTTTGATTGTTTAACCACAGTACTGTGCGTGCACACCTGAAGATATCAGGGTTTAAGGTCACTGTACTTGATAATCTTAATCTATAATGTAGATTGTCTACAGTATTTGTGTGAGAGTGCGAAGACTTGTGCAATATCGTAACTACAAACTCAGCCAAAAGTTGTGGTAACAGCAGAAATGTGATGAGAGGGAAGAATCTTGCTTAGATCAGCACATGCTTCCTCACATGAGCGAGTCACAAGACAGCCAGTCAGTTTTGGCTTAGCTACATCATCCGTCTGATATTTTTCCTAGGGTTTTCCTAATGTTATCGTAGTGAAGAGCTAAAATACTGAGAATTTAATGTAGGCTTGACCCCTGTTGTGAATGTCTGCAAATTTGATCAAGTACGTAAAAAGTTGAGAGATGCTGGCAAGATGTTTTCCCATTTTTGTTTCAATGATTAACACAAATATAATCAATCACCTTTTAGTCCATTTTCAGAGAATTCATTCACGTCAGATATCTGGTACAGAGGACCTTCGTTCCACCAGTTCATCTCAGGAATGGGTTTACAGCGTGGGGCCTGTACTATGATTACTATTGCTCCAGCTAACATGCCAATCCAGCCGAACCAGAACAAAACCAGCAAGACCCAACGAGTCCGAACCCACCTGCAGAAAATAAGCAAATCTATATCAAACAGACAGACTGTCAAATGTTTCATTTTAATGTCATAATCCTCATGAAGGTTGCCTACCCAGCTGTACTGGCGATTTTAATTAACTCGTCTTTGGAGAGGCCAGTATACTTCACTCCAGCATTCTCTGGGACAGTGACCTTCACGCAGCCATTTATTTGAGTTTGTCCGGTCATTAGCTGTTTTTCCTGATCCACCTCCTTCAGTTCTACGTCCTTCATCAGTTCATCTCAGGAATGGGTTTACAGCGTGGGGCTTGTACTATGATTACTATTGCTCCAGCTAACATGCCAACCCAGCCGAGCCAGAACAAAACCAGCAAAGCCCAACGAGTCCGAATCCACCTGCAAATATGCAAATATATATTAGACAGACAGACGGACGGATAGACAGATCAGACAGACAGACAGACGGATAAACAGATCAGACAGACAGACAGACAGACGGATAGACAGACAGACAGATGGATAAACAGATCAGACAGACAGACAGACAGACGGATAGACAGACAGACAGATGGATAAACAGATCAGACAGACAGACAGACAGACGGATAGACAGACAGACAGATGGATAAACAGATCAGACAGACAGACAGACAGACGGATAGACAGACAGACAGATGGATAAACAGATCAGACAGACAGACAGACAGACGGATAGACAGACAGACAGATGGATAAACAGATCAGACAGACAGACAGACAGATCAGACAGACAGACAGACAGACAGACAGACAGACAGACAGACAGATCAGACAGACAGACAGAGACAGACAGACTGATCAGACAGACAGATCAGACACAGACTGATCAGACAGACAGACAGACAGACAGACAGATAGATAGATAGATAGATAGACCTCTGTTGATTCTGTTTTTATGACAATATTGTTGCAGGAAGCAACCGTTCATATTCTTTTTTGAGTGAGTCACTTAGATGTGATTCATGCAAATGCCTTTTTTAATACACTATGAAAGATAAAAAAAAGAAACACGCAATTGCTAAGATAGACCAAAACTAAATCTGCAGAAGTAATTGCAAAATAAAGACAGACGGATAAACAGATCAGACAGACAGACAGACAGACAGACAGACGGATAGACAGATCAGACAGACAGACAGACAGACAGATATCGTACCCAGCTGTACCGGCTACTTTCATTAACTCCTCTTTGGAGAGGCCAGTAAATTTGACTTCGGTGTCCTCCGGCACTTTAACCTTTACGCAGCCGTTTTTTTTGGTGCCTGTCGGAGTTTCTCCGGTCATCGGCTGTTTTTCCTGATCCATCTCGTTCAGTTCTACTTCCTTCATGTCGTCTTCTTTATTCATGTTTGATGGTAGTTTCAGTGCTGACGGTTAAAAGGAAAATGATTCATCATCAAAAAATAAATAAAAAATCAAGACAGGACAAAAATTTACATATGGGGCATATTTTATTTCGGTTTAATTTAAGGCTAAATATAGGCCTATGAGATATAGAACCATAACATTTTGAAAGCATCTTAAATTTGTTTGCAGAAGATATCATATTATTTTAAAGGGTTAGTTCACCCAAAAATGAAAATTCTGTCATGAATTACTCACCCTCATGTCATTTCAAACCCGTAAGACCTTCGTTCATCTTCGGAACACAAATTAAGATATTTTTGATGGAATCTGAGAACTGTCTGACCCTCCCATAGACAGCAATACAACTGAAATGTTCCCAAGTCCAGAAACGTAGCAAGGAGATCTGTAAAATAATCCATGTGACATCAGGGGTTCAACCGTCATTTTACGAAGCTACGAGAATAATTATTGTGCGCAAAAGAAAAGAAAAGAAAAGAACAACTTTATTCAACAATTCGCCTCCTCCGCTTCACCCTTGTGACATTTTGGAGAATATCAGATGGACGTAAACAGCGTATGCTGTTCTTTTCGTTCAGATCAAATCACAACAATTTAGGAAACAGATCCTGCGTGAAGCAGCTGACACAGAACAGCATAAGCTGTTTACCTCCATCTTATATTCTCCAAAATGGCACAAGGGTGAAGCGGAGGAGACGAATTGTTGAATAAAGTCGTTATTTTTTTTCTTTTGCGCACAACAATTCTTCGTAAAATTATGGTTGAACCCCTGATGTCACATGGATTATTTTACAGATCTTCTTGCTACGTCTCTGGACTTGGGAACATTTCAGTTAATTTGTGTTCCGAAGATGAACGAAGGTCTTACAGGTTTGAAACGACATGGGTGAGTAATTAATTACATTTTTGGGTGAACTATCCCTTTAAGTAGCCTATTCGCAGAATTGTGTTTTTATTTCGAAACACTATAGAATAATCTTGAATGATTGTAAGAACGAGACATACCTGCAAAAAGAAGAAGCTTCCGTTTCAATCAGGATTCCTGCTGTTTAACTCCACAAAGGCTGTATCTTACGGTCAGTCCTGTTTATATAGTGCCGACTCCACTTGCATCCGCCCATTCGCCAGCTAAAGGAGGAACTCCAAAGGAACTTTGACACCGATAAGTCTACTTTTTATTGATATTGACTTCTGCAATGTCATCAAATAACGCGCGTTTGAATGCACTGAATTTACGTACTGCTCGAGAAGTTACACTATAATCACGACTGTAATGCAGTCAAGAGTTCCTGAAGAGTTTCCACCTTAAACGCTTCCCTTCCAAATCCAGAGCGCATCATTGAGCCCGAGTTCACTTGAGTGAACTGGAATTCATTCCGCAAACATGCCCATGAGAACCAATATACTCTCCTTAATGAAAAATAGTGCTTTCTGATACAGTCAGGCAGTCTTGAGATTGTTCTGATCAGCAACAGCTTAAAAAGTGCAAGACTGAATAGTCTACTACTGCACACAAGCATGTCATAAAACATTGGGTTGCACTGTAACAAAAGCTTTAGCACACAGAATGAATTATTTGATCAAGGTTGCCGTTGATTAGAGACAGTTACAGTAACGAGCTATTAAAGTAACAATCCTTTTTTTCCTTTCACAATCTTTGAAAAATTCAGATCATCTAGATTGTTGTATTTCGCTATTATATGTGTTAAAAGAAACACTAAAAAGCTTTTAATTTTAGTTATTTAAAAAAAGCCACAGGTCATAGCCACATACAAGCACATGATGGTTTGTTTTATTTGAATGTTCATGCAAACACAAAGGTTTTATTTCATGTATCAGTTTTATCCTTTGATAGGTATGCTTTCCCTAGTAGCAGGTTGTTGTTTGCTTGACCAACACTGTGCTATAAAGTGCAGTCACATTTTCTTTATGTCTGTAGATGTTATGGTTCCTTTCTGCAGCAAACACTGCATTTCCAACACTGTGCTTCCCTCTTTAGTCCTCAATTTAAATTTTTCAGAAAATGTGTTTGTTGTCAACACTTTTCTTAATGCTTCATTTTAGTTCAGAAAATAAATACTCTAAAAAATACTCCTGACAAAGATCTGTTGTTGTTTTTTGTCGTGGCTCTCTCTCCCACCAACTAATGTTCACTTTTCCTCTCAGCCTACCAAGAGAACAATGTGTGAGTGTTTTTCCCATGTGACAGAACAGTGTGTTGGCCCCCTCTGCCTCAGTGAGGAGAATTTCAAACAGTCCCGGGGCAACAGGGTCACAAGGATTACCAATAATTCTCTCTACTGGGAAACTGTCTTCATCAAGCCCAGATTTAAGGCATCCTGCATGTTCTACCCAAAGAGGTTTTTAAAACAAGCCTCTTATGCACACTAAGGCTGCATTTATTTGAACAAAAATACAGTAAAAACAATACAATTGTAAAATTAAAATGTAATTTATTCCTGTAGTAAAGCTCAATTTACAGCAATTATTACTTCAGTCTTCAGTGTCACAAGATCCTACAAAAATCATTCTAGTAGTTGAAAATACAGTTACTTCACAGTTAAAAACTGTATTTTTTTTTTTTCAGGATTCTTTGATGAATAGAAAGTTTAAAAGAACAGCATTTATTTGATATATAAATCTTTTATAACATTATAAAGGTTTTTATTGTAACGTTTGATCAATTTAATGTGTCCTTGCTAAATAAATAATAGTGTTATTTTAAAAATCTTTAAAAAAAATCTTAAAACCAGTAAAATGAAATAAAAATAATCTGTAAAATAAAAATCTTACTGACACCAAACTTTTGACCGTACACTCTAAAAAATGCTGGGTTGTTTCAACCCAACTTTGGGTCAAATATGGACTAACCCAACCGTTGGGTTAAATTTTTACATTAAATTTTTAACCCAAAAGTTGGGTTAGTCCATATTTGGCCCAAAGTTGGGTTGAAACAACCCAGCATTTTTTAGAGTGTACATGTGAATCAGGTCAACCAACAGACATCTGCCTAAATTGACCAGTTTAATTCACACAGCCTCAATAGGACCTTATTACAGCATTCTTTTATACTTTTGTGTGAAAAGTATAAAGTATTAAACCATTCTTTCTGTCTCTATATTCTCTAAATAAACAAGGGACAAAAGGTTTAGACTTAAAAAAAAAAAAAAAAGATCTTAAAAAAATTCTAACTTTTTTTTTTTACATTTTAAAGAAAGCCAAACAATCTGTTTGTTTTTTATTCATTAAAAAAGTTGACATTCAATTAAAGCTGTTCGAACATTTCTGACCCTTCTTATGTACTACATTTGAATAAGGACTTTTGTAGACTGCAGGGTTTATAGAGATGATGTTGTGACTGAAATGGCCTCACGTACAGCACAGCTCTTGGTGGTATTAATCCTAAATTTAGATTAAAAAAAAGAAAGAAAATTTTAGGGTAGTGCATTCAGTTCTTTTGCAGGTGAGCCGGGGTGAATGCTAAAGGCAAGAGGTCTCTGAGACTGGTCTTCCTATAGGTTCCATCTGGCTTAGTGAGGTAAACGTCCCATTCTGTGCCAAACTACAAAAAAAGAGCAAGTGACAGAAAGGGATATGAAAAAACCGAGACAAAGGAAAAGATGTTCAAAAGTAATAATTGACATACGTGATAAAATATGAGTGTAGCCATACCTCCATTAATACCTGTCGACAAGCACCACATGGTCCCACAAAACTATCTCTGATATCACTGTTGGTGAAATCAAAAGGATTCTTTAACATACTGAATATGTTTTCTGTTCAGTAAGTCAGTTTGTATTCGGAATATATATGATATACCATGTGACAGCTATGGCTGTAAATCTTCGGTATCCTTCTGCGACCGCTCTCTGTATCGCAGTTCTCTCCGCACACACAGTAAGGCCATAGGAGGCATTCTCAACATTGCAGCCTACAACATATAATGGTTAAGAACACTTTAACAGCACAAGAGGATAAAGAGCTGACTACATGGCAGATCAAATGCTGTGGAATCATGTTGCTTCAGTCAAACATGATATAAACAGTTGCGTCCGCCTACCAGTGATAATGGCGCCCCCTGTCGTCAAAATTGCAGCACCGACTGCAAACCCACTGTACGGACAGTAAGCCATTTCTCGTGCCTGCAAGCATTTTGCCACTAGTTCCGCAACTTAACCACAACAGTTGAGGACAAACAAAAGGACAAAACAACGGGACAAAACAAAAAGCGCATCAATACACAACTATGATACCACTGGCACGCTGTTGTATTTACAGAAATACATCTCTTACCGCAAAACTATGAGGTTATGTTTAAGCATTAACTATGAGGGGTTCAGATAGCAAAGTCCTAAAAGTAGGCTGCTCTAGGTCAAGCTCAAGTAACCTGCACACGCCAAACATATCAACTAGCTAACGTGCATTAAATGCAAAGTCGCGTTGAGTGTTTGTTTTACACGTATTGGATTAAATGTGTACCTACCAGCCATAACAACTAGCCGACTTGTTAAGATGGATTAGATATAGTCTTTCTGACGGCGTATTTTCAAAATATAACGCAGTTTTGTGAACAGTTGTTGTTGATGCCTCGCCAGGCATTTCTGGGACGGGTGCCGTGACAGAACAACTGACCTAGCGCAAGTGTTGTGGGCGGGGCAAACAACACACTCATGAATTATTCAAAATACAAGGATGTTTTTTTTTTTTTTCCTTTTGAATAATTTAGCACGTTTTTTTAATTGGTGTGTTTTGATATTTGCAACTTTTCGCAATTAAGAGATCTACTGAAAAAAAGATATAGCTAATGTTCAAAAACAAATACAAATAATAATAATAATAAATAAAATAAGGTGCTGTTAATCTTTGTTTTGATTGCTTTATCGCTCACAGATCTCAAGAAATATTTGATTAATAAATAAATATATTCTAATGAATAAATGAAGGTATATTATTGCACATTTATCTTCAGTAGTTAAAGAACCATCAAGAACTTTATTGATGAAACAACCACTGAAAACTACGAGAACACCTCTTGTAACAAACGTATATAATAAGATCACTCATACCAGTAAATAATACAGCACATTTTCAGAGCATTACTGGAAGTTATCTACAGGTCTGCAGCTAAATTTGAACATATAGGGTTCTATTGGTGAACAATATAGACCTACGTGTCAAAGTGGTATACAAAGCAAAAAGAGACAGTATGAACACACAAAGAAAGCCTAGATTGTTAATCCAAAATGCAAACAGATACAGGGTTTTGTGACAGTGGTCTCCAGTGCTGGTGGGAACATAGTTGGGAGGATATATGGAGTAAATCCAGTAGGTACCTGAAAGAACAGCATGAGACCACCATTGATTTTAGTTTCACTATATTATTTATAAATAAATAAATAGGCTATTAATAAAAATATGTTGTGCTGGCACTGGGCTGACAATAACTTTGTCCTTTATTATCAGTAATTTAACATCTCTTTCTCTCACCAGCAATGAACCAGCACACAATTAATAGGTAGAGCGTAAAGCTGAAAGCACTGCAGAACCGAGCCAGCAGACAGTCGTCCAAAGTGTTCCTCAGGTACATGACCAACAGTGAAAGCAGACCAGTCACTCCAATCACAGTCACATAGATGGGGAGGTTTGGCTGGACAGGGCACTCGTGAAAATGGATCACTCCTAGAAACATTTATCCAAACAGCCATATGACAGAGTAACAAGCAGACTTCCAGTGGTGTGAGAAAGCTTCTCATCTTCTTGTTGTTGTTACCTGACATACAGTTATTAGTTAAAAGCATTTATAGTGCTCCAGAATGTGATTACACGTATCATCTCATCAATATTTGATACTGTAAACAAAAACTGCTCTTTACCTAATCCAGTAGCTGTTATTAAAATCATCCATGCAATCATGTTAATCATCACTGGAAAAAAAAGAAAGAAGAAGAAAGTTTCCTGTTCTTTTTATTGTAGTTTATTAGTTATTGGAAAAACAACAACAACATAATTTCTTAATATTCTTACCAATGAAAGATTTTCTGGCAGCCATCTCAGTAGTCTCCATCTTCAACGATTTCTTAAAAAGTCCATACAAATGTGAATTCTCTCTTATTAATTTGCCTCATAGACTTTCAAATATGAGGAGGACCCCCAAAATTAGCTTTGTTGTGAAGATGTGAATAGTATATTCAAGTTAAACCGGATAGAGCTGCTCTGAGTCAGCCAGTATGTTTTCACAGTTCTGTGGCCATCAGACTCAGCCAGTAGCATTAAAACACTTCCTTTGGTGAAATGTTGAGAAACTGTTATTGCAAACCCAAACTGAAAAATAACAACCACCTTTTTGCCTTTATATAAACATTTTCAGTTAACAAAATCTGAATAGTATGACTTTTATACACTGCGGTGGCAGTATATATTTTATTTATATTGATATTTTTCAAATTAAGCTGTGCATTACCTTCAAGTCCGGGCCTTGATTTTGAACAATGTAATATATCACTATACAGATCACATCAGATCAGTTCACCCTAAAAATGGGCTTTTCTGTAGCCCTATACTGGTAGAAAATAGGATATATAATGTCAAGGTCATGGATTTGATTCTTAGGGCACATATTGATCAAATGTATGATTACATTGTGGTTTTAATAAAAGCAACTGCTAAATATAAAATCATGATACATTGTGAAACATCCTATGTTTGTTGCTGAGAGTTTGAAGCCAATGACTGTGCTCTTTGACAAGTATTTTGTACACATGTATAAAGCACTAAAAATCCACTACAAAGCAGCAAGACAGCCAGACAGCCGTAACAGACTGTATTCAACCAGAATGCAAAGAGATACAGAGTTTTGTTGCAGTAGTTCTCTTCATTTGTTGGGTCATAACTGGGAGGATGTACAGAATATATCCAGACACTCCCTGCAATACACAGAGAAAACATTTTAGTTGAGTTAAATATTCCTTTGATATCTGTGAAATTTAAACAACAATAGAAATTTTCAACTTTTGTATTTTTTTTGTGTGCAAATATTTAATTTAAAGGGTAAGTTCACCAATTTTCAGCCAGCTTTGTATTGTTACAATGTAATATAAGTAAATGGACAAAGTGCATTATTTTTCAATGATATCTTCTGGACTTTTGTTAAAACTACAGATTGTACTTCTGCATTTTTTCCCCCCTGCTCACGTGATCGAGCCCAGTGCATTATGGGTGTTGAAGTTTTCCGACACTCTAAAAAAATATGTAAAAATAGGGTACAATATCCTGTATAATTTGAAGGAATTTTTCCATATTTATTTTTTACAGGTGTTTTACCAGTATTTTGAATTTTACACTTCATTGCATTGTGTTTTAGTGTTAACAGAAATGTCCGTAAAATGAATGGATAACGTCCTGTGTAATGAGCTGCCAGTACTTTTTCTGCTATTTTACGGATTTTTTTTTTTTTACAGTGTACCTATTTTCACTACAGCCCTTTCCCCCAGTTTTCTCTAATGTAACACCAATTCAAAAAAGTGTTTCTACCGCATAGACAGACAACTTTTATTAAAGCCCCATCTTACCAGTGGTGAATTATGACTTTACAGCCCCACATTCTTCAGCCTGTCACAACATTATGCTTCACCTTTAATTTTTTATCTGCAGAGAATGTTTAACCTTCTTTTGCGTATTCAATCAAATCAAATATCTTCACCCCTCCTTCTGTAACTCCTGTTTGACAAATTCACTCACCTGTGATGAACCAGCAAACAACAAATAGGTAGAGGATGGCGCTGACGGAGATGATCAGCATAGATAGCAGCAGCAATTCATAGGTGTCTTTTGCAAGTGTACCACACAATAAGCCCAGGCTCACTATCAGAACAAGCAAAACAAATACACCAAATACTATAAGGTAGATTGGGATGTAGGGCTGGACAGGGCAGTCTCTCAGAGTGTAGGCCCCTAAAAAAATCAAACAAATAAAATTCAGCGGCCTTTGTGTTTGTGTAGAGGAGTGTGTTTGCTGACTGTACAAAGTATGTGAATGTTTCTGTCAATATTATACTGGAATATGTTATTAAATCCACATTATTTGTGAATAGTGAATAATGAGGTAAAAATGCTTGATTTACCAATTCCAATGGCAGCAATTATAACCCCCAGTACAACAACAGCCAGTATCACTGAAAAATAAACAGACTGCTCAGACAACAATACTGTCACATTCGTACTTTGCCAAGTATTCACTAAAACTATAGGACATTTGGACATCATTTAGGCTATGTTAGTTTAACACAGATTACAAAAGCAACGTATTCTTAACGAGATTGTTAATAGGCTAGCTCTTACCAAACAGTGATGTCAAAAATGCTGATGACTTTGAATCGTCCATTCTCAGGATAGTTGCTGAATATGTGCGATTACTTTCTTTCTTTCTTAAGTTCAAAAATGAGAAAAAAATAAGATATCATTAGACATTAACCAAGTACATCATTAAAATGGAATACATGGATCTAAGGATACGTTTTATGTACATGATCATTAAAAGTAAACATCTCACCCCAGCTTAAATGTTGAGAAAGGTTTCCTCTTGCGTCTCCTATCAGGCTTTAAACAGCAGAACTGTAGTGTGCTCTAGTCCTCATCTAATAACTATATGAAGAAAATAACGAAATTCTTCTCTTATCTGTCTTATTGACCGTAGTTAGAATTTCCAGTATTTCAAACCAGCATAATGTTCCAGCAGAGCGCGACATGTTTCCGCGGTGAGCCACACCTTTCCAGAATGAAGCGGTCATATTAAAGAGAAAGGAAACATTTCATTAGCCTATGATTAACCTTAACCAGAACTTCAGTGAGATCATTGTGTGAGTGTAACAGGACCTCAAGAAAAATTTCACAATTTACACATCTTTACAATATAGCCTACATATTGTTTTATAATTATATTAAATTATTCAACGAGGACACATTCAAATGCTCAAAAGTGACAGAAAAAGATTTCTATTTCAAATAAATGCTGTTCTTTTGAACTTTCTATTTATTAAAAAAGAACATAAAAAAATTAAAAACAAAAACAAAATCAGTATATTATCAGATCCGTTAAAACACACACACACACACACACACACGTTTTCAATGGCTTTGATTAATGATTTCTGAAGGATCATGTGATACTGGAGACTTGAGTAATGCATGGCTGCTGAAAAATAAGATTTGTCATTACGGGAATACATTACATTTGAAAAGAAATTAATAATAATTTAAAAAATGCTAGTTTAAATTGTGATAGTATTTCACAATATACTGCTTTTACTGTATTGGCTTGCATTAAAGACTTACAAATCTTAATGACACCAAACTTTTGAACGGAAGTGTAGGCCTAAGTATTCTGCTTTTCCAACTTGCGCAAATTTTTTTGCAAGTCTATTCTTCTGCTTTCTCCTCAGTTTGTCTGAGAAATGACATTACAGGCTGGAAGCACGTCTACATCTGGCATATAACACAATATTGTCTTATATGACCCTTACTCAACTATAATATTGTATCATCTATTTTTATCACTATGTAGCAATTTTCCTTGAGTATAATAATTGTTTGGCTTTATTATACTGTTAGTTAAGAGCTAAAACGTGATCAGAGGATCTATTTTATTTTCTACTTTTTTAAT